GATGCCACTACTATCGGAGAAAACCATGCTGTTTGATGAGCTGATGGTGTGGGAATGGTCATGATGATGCCATTTACTACATAGTCCACAATAGCCATGGCATGTCTGTTTATGCCACTATGCACTATTTTGATGTTACATTTTCAAATATGTATATGATGGTGTACAATCCTGAAGTAAATCTTATGTAAAATTATGTAAACCTATGCTCCCCAAAATTATAATTACACATAGGGAAGGCTAACAAGGGATAACATAACACATAAAATAAGTAAAATTACCTATGAAAGAGGTGCCGATAATGGCCACTCTCTTCCCTGCTGCTGCTGCGGCCACTGCATTAGCATCCTCTGGAGTTCGAACCACAAAGATGCCCTTGAGGTCAGCACCGGGGTTTGACAGTTGCCGTGGTCTGTTTTGGTAATGAGTCATCTGAGTAAAGTATTACAACTAAACTTATCAAATGCCTATTTACACATCTACCAACAATACAGTCTTAAAGATTTGTAACTTATCACTTAGGTATCATTAACAAAGAGGAAATAAATATCAAACAGAAAATATAAAATCTACAACCCACTACTATCTTGCCTATTTTCTTTGTTAGGGTTTTGGCACAGAAAAGAAAAAAGAATGGCAAACAAAATCAACAGAAATATAAAAATTTATAAAGGGAACACTTACTTCCCACCAGTTGCAATGAACACTTTGTCATACGTCAGTTCTTCACCATTACTCAGTTTGACGACTTTATTCTCTGCATCTAGACCTTCTGCTGTAACACCTAGCTTGATTTCTATGTCACCACTCTGTAGGTAAAATAAACACTCATGAGAAAAGTAAAAGAATCAAAAGTTGTGAAAAGCTGTAAACTAAATTCATTAAAATCTAATTTTGTGACATTCCTTTTCTCTCATGACTAAGAGAATAAAATGCTACCATTTCTCCTTCTTACTAATTATCACATTCTTTCCTTTTCTTCTTGTTAAGATCTACACACAATATAAGAAATGATGCACTTAATAATTGGAAGAAAAAGATGAAATAGTTCTCCTAGTACATACTGTAACAAGATCAGTTACATTGTCACTTATAATATAACAAGGTAATAATTCTTTACGGTACAAATGCACACACCAGACTCTAAGTCCCCAACTCTACCCAACAATCTTGGGAGACACATGGGGAACCAGGGGTTTTGGGGGTGGGGATAAAGAGTGGGCTCAGCTTGATTTCAAGTGTCGGTAAATGACGAAGTTAATTATAGATACAATGAAATGTGACTTTTTGAAATGCGAGCCAAACTTCCTATTTACAAAAGTCAAAGAAATGCGACTTTTTGGAAATGCAAGTCAAAATTTACATTTTCTAAAATCGAAGAAATACGACTTTTCCGAAATGCGAGTGTCTGATTATGCAGACATATTTGAATATAAGAAAGTGCAAGTGCACACGGTAACCAACACAAATTTACTCAACAGTCCAAGTTGCCGTGACTGGATGTACCCTTCGGGCACTGCCCAAGGGGAGGGTTGATGGGGGCTCTGCCCCCAACACCCCCCGGAAAACATTCTCTTCACCTCGGAATGCACTGCAAGATAGAGCCGAAACAGTTCAGAATATTGCACTGCACTTTTCACACTTTCTTTCCTTTAGGATGATTCCGTGAATCTGTTAAAACTTTATGACCTCTTCAGTTTTTCCATAAAATAAAAAAAAAAGTCTAGCACACCACCGTAACACAAATGACATATGTCCGTCATTGAGAAGAATGAGACAGGTCACCGGTGTAGTCCTGAAATGTGCGTGTTATCTGAATACTCAAAATGTGTTAAGTATCGATTATATTGTTTGAGTAGTTTGGCAATTATGGATATTAATCAGTTAGCCAAAACTGAGGATCAAAATACACATTTTAACCTAAAAATGGCTGAGACATGAATATATGAAAAGTAAGTTGATAGTCGTGTGCATTTTTATGATATAGTAAATGGAATATTATACTTGAACTTTAATGAGCAATGAAAAATCTCTGCTATTCTGATTGGTCGTGAGGTAGTCACATAGGTGCGCAGTAGGACAGAAAATGGTGTGTGAGCTACACAGTAACTTAATCTTTCGCGTCGAGTGAGTGGACTTTCTGCGACTTTTTTCCTTTATTTGTGGCATTACCATTTATGTCTGCAGATTATTTTGTGTACCAACCACTATTACTTTTTGTCCTCTACAAGATTATCATCTTCAATTTGCCTTTAACTTAGTGCACCCATACCGTAAAGATTATCCAATAACAAATTATAACATTTATTCCTATGACATGAAGGGCCACTTGTTTGTTCAAAAATGAACACGGGAAAAAAATGTATATATAAATCAATTATTTCACGGGGTCACTAAGCACTATTTCTCCCCAGTAGCAAGGGCATGCCCTTACCTCATAGAACTGATTAGAACGTAATGTAATATTATCTGGTGTGAGATGCATGGCCTTGGAGAGTTTTGGTCGGTCATAGGGTAAGTGATTCTCCCTTGTCACCATCACCAAGCGACCTGTAAAACCTTCCTGCCGTAATCGTTCCACACAAGTAGCACCTGCAGCACCTGAAAAAACAAGCAATTGATTTCAACAAGTATTTCAAGGAAGCAGAGAGGATGTATTCAATAAAGCAGACAAAAAGACTAATGTTGTAAATATGATTTTGAAGACACTAATCATTTGCATGGAGATTTCTTCTTACCTCCACCAATCACTACAAAGGATGTATTGTTGTTTTCATCACGTTTGGCCAATGGTTTCACTCTCTTTGCAGCACCAAAGTGTTCCTGACTGGCCATCACTTTCACACTCCCATCAACAACTTCAACATCATATTTAGGAATGCTGTCCAGTCCTGGGAAATCTTCAATATCCCCTGGAAATTAAAGAATTTATACATATATAAAGATAAATAAATAAAGACCTTAAAATCACTTCTAAACTTTCTTCTGTGTTCTGAAACACTTGTTCCATGATCATACCTTCCAAATCACTACACAACTTTTGTTAATTCAATGATACTTATTTTGATGTATATAGCAATCATAACTAAAACATACAAATCATGAATCCATTTACCAGTTTCGAGGCTGAAGCAAGCACCATGCCACGGACACCTCACTCTTCCCTCACACAAAGCCCCCTTCTCTAAAGGTGCTCCATAATGGGAACATTTACTCCCTATCGCAGACAGTTTGCCCTTGTGACGAACAACCAGCACCTGGCCACCTTCTACATCAAAGGACTTCATTCTGGAATACAAATACCTAATTTCAACTTTTATACATTATTACATAATCAACTCCGACTGAGAAAGAGAAAACATGTATATATGCATGTATGTATGTATGTATGTATATCTTTATATGTATATATATGTATGTATATAAATGTATGTGTATATATGAATATGTATATGTATATATATAAGTGTATATGTATATGTAAATGCATAGGCATATATGCGCAAAAAAAACTGTGTTACTAATGAGATACATACAAAATTCAAGTAGCTAGCAAAACTTAAAATAAACACTTGTTGCATGGAATCCAACAACTGCATGAAAGGTAAAATGAGATTAATACTAGGCTACATACCCTTCCTCCGGCAATTCATCCTCACGGCACACAACAGCTTCCATCATATTGCCTGAGCTTTCTCTTGGTGAATTCAAGTTGCTATCTGGAATGCGATATAGATTATAAGAGAGTTACTTCTTTTTTGATTTTCATTTTTTTTTCATAAGCATATTATCAATGTTTGTAATCTTAATGGCTTTAAAATCATCTAAATTTCCATTGTAAAATTATATTCCATTCTATATCCTTGTAAAATATACAGCATTAAAATGTCTAATATTTAATTTTCAAACATAGAATTGCCAATTATCAATGTTGTAATTCCTGAATTTGTATTTTCCATCAAAGCTACAATAGTGAAAAAAGTCTCATGGCACAAAACAAACTCATCTGGATAAATGTTACATAAAAAGTTAACAACTGGAAATAAAGGTTCCTAAAAAAAAGGAGTTGATTTACCTCCAATCTTATTCTAAGTACACTAAACTGAGTCTCCAACAGTGACTTTTGAAATGGGATTTTCCCCAAATGATCTTGTTTTAATATGTTAATTAAAGTTTAAGCCAACATAAGCATAAAAATGTGTTACTATAAATGGGTCAGTATGATCTACCATTAAAACATTCACTTATGAAAACATTATATAACAACTATTATAACACCTATGCTGTCACCAACAATAAACAACTTCAAAAAGATTATATGTGATAGAATGAACAACAATTGCTGGTGGTTAAAATTTGATGGTTTATTTTACACCGAGTGATTACGATTTGAAACTGCTAAGGATTATCATAATCTCATTAGAGTAAAGAGCTCTGTACTGTATCTAGTTTGAAGCAGAATCATACCAGAAGGCGTGGGCGTGGTAAAAATTATAAAAAAAATGGACGTGACTTGCTATGTGGTCGTGGAGATTTAATGAGCTAAGACGTCCTCCTCACCCACTGCATAACACCGGGTAAAAACCACAAAAATTACGAAAACAACCAAGTCTACCGCCATAAGGACGCAAATACCCGATGCTCATAACCATCACTGAACACTTGAACACAAAAAGATCCCCGTAAAGAAAGTAAAAGGAAAGAGAAAGGTGAAAAAAGAGAGAGGGACGTCCACCCACCTGCCTCTCCTCCGTCTGAGTCGCCTCCGCCACTCCTGCACGAAGCCCCGACCCCCATAGTCCTTATAGTCGTTGTCCGTCCTAAATGGTGTCCTTTTTTACATATGTGGCGGCTGAATGTCGCCCCGCAGCCGCGTCTGACAACCGCTGCCAGTGCAACAGTCAAGCTAGCGCGGGTCAGGAATGCTGTGGTCATTATGAGGTGAAAGTTCGATTTTGTTCTGCTTGGGTTAGTTGGGGTTCCTCGGTGCCGACGGATCCGACGGGGGGTTGAGACACTTTGTGGAGACCGGTGTCGAGTTTGTGACACTTGGCCGTTCCTTTTTTTTCTCTCTCTTTTTTGTTGTTTGAGAGGAGAGAGAGAGAGAGAGAGTTACAGATGAGACAGACAGAGATGGGAGAGGGGATTGTTGGAGGGGGAGGGTGTGAGAAGCAAGGGATTGTATCACAGCATTTTTTTTTTTTTTTTTTCTAGAGAGGAGGAGAGGTGAGAAAGATAGTGAAATTGGCTGTTATTTCTTCTTGTGAGATTCTTTTTTAAGCTGCACAATTCCTTTTATAATATGCAGTACAGGATCATTACGCAGTACGTGGAAAGTTGCAAGGAATATAAAGTATTCATATTATTGACAAGTGATTCAGCCGATCCTCAATCCACACGACACGCACGTAAACTATCGTGTGTGTGTGTGTGTATGTGTGTGTATGTGTGTGTGTGTGTGTGTGTGTGTGTGTGTGTGTGTGTGTGTGTGTGTGTGTGTGTGTGTGTGTGTGTGTGTGTGTGTGTGTGTGTGTGTGTGTTTATGCGTGAGTGTGTGCATTATGTTAACGGACTATAACCGGTACTGGGCTCCAGGAACCTGTCCGGATAGTAAAAATGTGATCGCCAACAAAGAAAAGGATGGATAGAACCGTGGGAGTTCACACTCGTTTAAAAATACATACACACCCTAACACACATGTGCGCGCGCTCATGCACACGCGCACGAACCCTCACGCACACGCACACGCGCACACGCGCACGCACACGCACATTACGCACATACACATATATATATATATATATATATTATCATCGGGCCGAATTAATCCACTGCAGAACGTAGGCCTCTTCCAATCTTTTCCAACCTTTTCTGTCTGGCTTTTTTTGTTTCCAGTCTTGGCCCTCAAATTTCGTTATTTCGTCACGCCATCTTGTCATTGGTCTGGCCCTTGGCCTCTTTATGTTATCTATAGTCCAGTCTGTTACTTTCTTTGTCCATCTGTCGTCCTGTCTCCGACATATATGCCTTGCCCATTGCCATTTCTTCTTTTTAATGCTCCCGAGTATATCTTCCACCTTCGTCTGTTCTCTGATCCACGTCGCCCTCATCCGATCTCTCAGGCTAATTCCCAGCATCGACCTTTCCATCCCTCTCTGGGCACTCATTAGTTTCCTCTCCAGTAATTTGGTTGTAGTCCATGTTTCTGATCCATAGGTCATAACTGGGAGGACGCACTGGTTAAAGACTTTTCTTTTTAAACACAATGGCAAGGAACCTCTTAGTGTGCTACTGTGTCTGCCGAAGGCGCTGTAGCCTTGAGTGATGCGTCGCTTTATTTCCTCTTCGTTAGATGTGTTTGTCTGTACGAGTTGCCCTACATATATATACTTGTCTACTACATCTAGCGCTTCGCTTTGTACATGTATCTGTTCGAACGGAACTCTACTGTTGAACATAACCTTAGTCTTTTTCTTGTTCATCCTAAATCCGACTTTCAGACTTTATTCTCTATTCAGACCGTCTATTGATTGCTGCATTTCATTTGCTGATTCACTGAAGAGAACAATATCGTCTGCAAATCTTAGATTGTCTAGGTATTCGTCTCCTATTTTGATACCCATCTTTCATTTATTATTTGAGTACTGGACTTCCGTACATCTTCCCTCTTCTTTTTATTTATAGTCTTTGTTAGTTCAGCTTATTCTATTTTGTCTGTTTATTAATACTTTCATGACCCTACGTTTTTGCACAAGCTATTCAGTTTCTACGTCAAGTGCAGGTTCCTTTATTATGTCATTGAACTGTTTGTTAATTGGTCAATGTTGAGATCTCCGTCGTTGGGAAGTGAACATCTGTTTTGGATATTAGGTTAAATTCTGTCGCTCGGGTCTTCAAGTTACCTCAATTTGGTTGCGGTTTTCGTATGAGTTTGCTCCTTTCACTTCAAAGGTTTAATTTAATTTCACCTCTGACCAACATTATTAATAACTTCCACATTCTTTACTATATCGTGTCTATTTGAAATTAAAAAGTCGACTTCGTTTTTGACACCAGATGGCGACTCCCATGTCCACTTCCGTTCTAGTCTTTCGAAGAATTTATTCATGATATTGAGCGATCGAGTCTCCGCAAAATCGACTAGCATTTGTCTCCTCTCATTCCTAGTGCCTATTCCGTAATTCTCTATCACGGTTTCTCCGGTCTTTTTACCTATTTTGGCAACGTAATCCATAATTATTGTGAAATTGGTTTTTAATCTCGGTGGCTAAATGACCATCTTCATAGAAGCTCTCTATTTCTTCATCACTTTGGCTTGAACAATCTTTAAGTTGCACCTATTGTTTGGTTTTATTGTTACTGAAGCCACTCTTTCGCTTACACTATAGAATTCCACGATGTTCTTTCCTAAGCGTTTATGAACTAAAAAAACAACAACTAATTCCTGCTTGTTGCCTTAGGGTTTACCTCTGCAATAGAACACGTGTTCATCATTTAATATCTTCGCCTAGTCTTCTAACTTCTAACATCCGATTAAATTAGAGTTCCTCAAGTACTGCTAGCAAGTCGGAATCGGGTTCTCATGGTCCTTATATTGCGTGTGCAAAGGTTCATCAGCCCCCTCTGGTCCGAAGAGATCCTGATCGACACCGCAACCAAGGGCTTCTTCGCCTCCGGGGAATGAGGGCCGTTGCTACTGGCTTAGGTGCATCTTGGTGGGAGGGGGAGTAGTTTAGCCGGGAAGCCACTGATAAGTTCCTTCAGTAGGGTTGGCCTTACCTAGTGTGGACTTAAGAGCAGCAACGCATGGGCTTGCTCACTACACCAGGGCATATTCCCGCGAGCATGGGCTTGAATAGCTGAAGTGAATATGTGTGTAATTATATTTTATACATTACTCTAACTTATGCGCAGGCATAGTTGTTCACCCGCACATGCCCTAAGTACTACGCATGTTCATTTTCGTGCACATGCACATGCAAGGAACCTTTACACATGTTCCTATGCATATGGATATGCATGCATACTCCTACATTCTACACAACTACGCACATGCACATGCATACACATACACAGATATATGCGCACATCATATGTACCTCCATATATATGAACACACATTTATAGATATCTTGTACATGTACACATGACTACTCACACACACACACACACACAGCATATACATACATACACATACATACACATATAGCCACACATATGCTTACGTACAGGCAGGCTTCCGCAGTGGATTCTCAACAGCAGACCAAGGTCTATATAAGTACTTATATAGATCTTGCAGCAGACCACATCCACGCGCTCACGCAAATAAGAGAAAAAAGAAACGAATATAGGAAACCCCTGTAGCCTTGAATAGAACGGAAAGGGTATTAGAATAGGAGACGAATACCTAAACAACCTAAGATTTGCAGACGATATTGTTCTTTTCAGTGAATCAGCAAATGAAATGCAGCAATCAATAGACGATCTAAATAGAGAAAGTCTGAAAGTCGGATTTAGGATGAACAAGAAAAAGACTAAGGTTATGTTCAACAGTAGAGTTCCGTTCGAACAGATACATGTACAAAGCGAAGCGCTAGATGTAGTAGACAAGTATATATATGTAGGGCAACTCGTACAGACAAACACATCTAACGAAGAGGAAATAAAGCGACGCATCACTCAAGGCTATAGCGCCTTCGGCAGACACAGTAGCACACTAAGAGGTTCCTTGCCATTGTGTTTAAAAAGAAAAGTCTTTAACCAGTGCGTCCTCCCAGTTATGACCTATGGATCAGAAACATGGACTACAACCAAATTACTGGAGAGGAAACTAATGAGTGCCCAGAGAGGGATGGAAAGGTCGATGCTGGGAATTAGCCTAAGAGATCGGATGAGGGCGACGTGGATCAGAGAACAGACGAAGGTGGAAGATATACTCGGGAGCATTAAAAAGAAGAAATGGCAATGGGCAAGGCATATATGTCGGAGACAGGACGACAGATGGACAAAGAAAGTAACAGACTGGACTATAGATAACATAAAGAGGCCAAGGGCCAGACCAATGACAAGATGGCGTGACGAAATAACGAAATTTGAGGGCCAAGACTGGAAACAAAAAAAGCCAGACAGAAAAGGTTGGAAAAGATTGGAAGAGGCCTACGCTCTGCAGTGGATTAATTCGGGCTGCTGATAATGATACATTCACATATGTGCATATGTACATACACGTATACACACAAACATGAATACATACGCATATATACACACACATATATGAATACACACATATACACATACATGAATACATACACATATACGCACAAATATACATATCTTCATATATATATCCATGTATACCCTCATGTACAAACACGGGAGCATACACATACATCTTGTACTCTTACACATAACTATACGCATACATATAAACTGCACATACACAAACTAAACTCTGCATATGTACACACATATATCAGTATACACATGCCCGCATACATGCATTAGTGCCTGTATATAATTTTAGACATGCATGAGTACACACACATATATGTGTGTGTGTGTGTGTGTGTGTGTGTGTGTGTGTGTGTGTGTGTGTGTGTGTGTGTGTGTGTGTGTGTGTGTGTGTGTGTGTGTGTGTGTGTGTGTGTGTGTGTGTGCACATATACAGGTGTGTGGAATAACACGAACGCTGTTCCACAGGCGGAAGTAACACACACGAATGGTTCATGACATGTACTTGTCATGCTTTGTCATCTAAGCTACTGAACTCTATACGCATCTTTGTTACATGTTCAATAAACTAAAGAAAACGGAGGAACTGATCCATCATGCAAGGATGATATCTGCATGTAGTTCTTTTCCGTCTGCTTGTGCTTGCTTTCACATAAATGGCTTGGTAACTTATTCATGAATCGAGAGTCGAACAGAATCAATAACATCAAACCGAACCTGCTATTCCGCAACCGAAATGCAGCAACTTCTTTCTTTGATACTGAACAC